GTCTGTCAGTCAGTGTCTGTCAGACAGTGTCAGCCAGTGTCAGTGAGTCACTCTGTCAGTGTGACAGTGTCAGTATCAGTTAATGTCTGCCAGTCCACCAGCCAGTGTCTGTCAGTGTCTGTCAGACAGTGTCAGCCAGTGTCACTGAGTCACTCTGTCAGTGTGTCAGTCAGTACCAGTTAATGTCTGCCAGTCAGCCAGCCAGTGTCTGTCAGTCAGTGTCTGTCAGCCAGTGTCAGCCAGTGTCAGTGAGTCACTCCGTCAGTGTGACAGTGTCAGTCAGTATCAGTTAATGTCTGCCAGTCCACCAGCCAGTGTCTGTCAGTCTGTCAGACAGTGTCAGCCAGTGTCAGTCACTCTGTCAGTGTAAGTGTCATTCAGTGTCAGTGAGTTGACCAGTCAGTGTCAGTGAGTCAGTCAGTGTCTGTCAGATAGTGTCAGTGTCAGTGAGTCAGTTAGTCGGTCAGTGTCTGTCAGTCAGACAGTGTCAGTGTCAGTGAGTCATTCCAACAGTGTGTCAGTCAGTATCAGTGTCAGTGAGTCAGTCAGCCAGTCAGTGTCAGTGTCAGTCATTCAGTATTGATGAGTCAGCCAGTTAATGTCTGCCAGTCAGTCAGCCAATCAGTGTCAGTCAGTGTCAGTCAGTATCAGTTAATGTCTGCCAGTCAGTCAGCCAGTCAGTGTCTGTCAGTCAGCCAGCCAGCTAGTTAATATGAATGGCATTCAACTGTGCCCATTTGCCTTTCTGCTTATTTATCCAGCATCTTCCTGGGCATTGGGATAGGTGTGTCATTCCTGCATAAGGACAGAGAGGTGACATTGTTTCCCCAGGACTCAGAGCAAAGTAATTACAAGCTGGGCCAAGCCCGCAGCCCCTCATTTTCAGTTCAGCTGCCAGGAGCTGGGCTGAGTGTTCCGATTCCGAGAGCTTCCTGAGTTCTAAGGGCATCAGTTCAGAAGTGAGTCAAAGGGAACAAGGTCACCTTTTGACTCTGAAGAGCCACTTCCTCCCCTGCGGGGGTTTTTGGCAATGGCCCACCGAAGCGCTCATCTGGCCACAATCTGGGACTGGCAAGATTAATGCAACGATACCTCAGGCCCTGTAGCAGCAGGCCCTCCAACTTCCAACCGCACAGAGCTGTGTTGTCTGTGAATGGGCAGATGCATGGTTTTTCCTGACAAAGCGAGAAAGAGAATAAACACAGCGGCTCCTTTCTCAGGCAGGACCAGAGTGGAGGTGGAGCAGGGTGGGGCCATCCTAAGCCCTGGCCCAATGCCCAGACTTGAACATTGCTGTGGGCATTCCTTTTGTCTGCCTGGACACTGTCTCCCTTCTCAGTTCTGAGGGAACTGCTCAGCATCCCCTTAAACCTCCCGATGCCCACCAACCACGTAGGTTCTGGCAGAAGCTGACAATCCCAGTACATGCCCTCATGGGAGCCAGAGGGGGGCATGAGACCCAGCTGCCCCCATTGTAGCACGTCACAGTGATTGGTCCAGGGGTGGGCGCATGACCCAAGCCAGGCCAATCGATTCTTCCCAGGATTTTTCTGAGGCCGAAAGTCCTTTAGCTGAAAGGGTATGTGCCTAGGTCTGCCAACAGAGAGGCTTTCACTGTGTAGAGAAAATCTCAGGGGAGAGAATAATCCCACAGGCAGAAGAGAACCGAAGAGACAATCCTGACAGACAGGGATCAAGCCCCTAATTCCAGCCAACCCCTAAGCTGCTTCCACCCTGGCCTCTTGCCTCGTGGTTTGTGAGCCATGCCTGTGACCAAACAGCCTCGCCTCAGACAAACCAGTATACTTGCTGCCCAGTTAGGCCTACCCCTACTGACTTCATCTGGACATCGCTGATCCTGTATGTGGTTTGCTCAAGACCCTCAACTTCTTCTCTTGAGCCCCTTATAGCAGAGGTGGGCAGAGAAAGCCAAGGAAGGCCCTCTCAGCCCTCAGGAGGATGCAATGGACAGTCCCTGAGGGAGAGGCCCTGGGGGACCAGCACCGACCTTGGACACATGTGGCCTTTCCCAACTATAAAGCATGCACGTCTTATCTTGTGTTCTGACACTCTGAGTATGGGAAATGTTCTCTGGCTTGTCCCTTTGGTAACTCCACACAGGGCAGCTTCATGGGCAGGAGGCAGTCCCACAGGACCTCTCCACCTAGAAGGACCCCGGGCTTGGTTGAATTCTGTGCTATCAACTATCTTGGCCCTGCATTTTAATTTTACACAGGGCCCCACAAGTTATGTAGCTGGTCTTGGCCCCGTGCATTTGCTCGCGGTGGGATTTGTGATTTCAAGCAGTTGCTCCAGCTCCCAGAGCCCCCTCCCCCACCCCCATCCCTTCATGCCTCTTCCCCTCCCCCTGACCATGACCATGCTCTTCTCCCTGCAGGGACTGTTGTCCCAGACACAGGGAGCTGTCCCTGCGCCAGCTGGCAGTCGGCTCATTGCTCTCCGACGTGAGTTCTAGGTAAAATCCGGAGGGCTGGGCTTTGTTTTATCTGGAACAACGTGGACATGAATGGCTCTTCTTGCTTCTACCCCTTAGCCCCTGATATTCTGTGGTTCTGCCTCAAACTGCCTTCCAGAGGCTTCTGGGAAAGCTGCACCAGCAAAAACACAGCCCAGCACCCGGCTCCTCAGGTTTGAGCAATCGAGGATTCTGGTGCAGGTTGACACAAGAACCGTGGCTTTTATGCGATTGCTTTGTGGTTCTGTAATGAGGATTTTAACAGTCTAGCAAACAGACAAGCAGCCCGTGTCCTTGGGAACAGCCTGCTGAGCATCTAACAAAGGCATGTCCTCGCCTTGGGCTCACTGCTGCCCCTGGAAAAGGTGGATTCCAGCCTCCTCACCCCCAAGAGAGGAGTAAGACCACATAAAGCAGCCATAACATCAGTCTTCACACCCACAATATTTAATGTGAAAACCTGACCTACGGGGAGAAGCCGACATGGGAGAAAATGATATGCAATTTAGCAATAGAGAGCCCAGGAGTGGATAAAAGTGATTTATTTTTGGATCATGGTAACAGTTATGCAACCAGGAACATTTCACTCACCCGTCCGTCCATGTTTTGTGTCATAAAGACATACCAAGACTTTGGAAAAGATTCCAAAGGGGATTACACTGAAATGTGCTGTCTCTTCACTTGTTTTTGTGCTTGTCTTAATCACAGTGAACCAAATAAAATAGCTTTACAGCTTACTAAAACTCAAACTTGTCCTCAAAGGAAGCAGTTTAAACATTTCCAACTGTAAGTCAGCCGTACAACGATACCATATCAGGAGACAGATCAGAGAGACAAAAGCAGCTCTAACATAAAGCCTGTCTTGCCAAAAGAAAAGAAAAACAAAAACAAAAACACCAGAAGGGAAATCCAATTTATCTAGAAAGAGTGGACCCTCTTCAGGACTGAGGTCCCAAAACAGTAAGATACAACTGTGCGTGCAGTGTCCTCTTTGGAAAAACAGGGGTAAAGAACAGATCTGGCTGAAGCACGTTAAGAGGCTGGTTTAAAAAGACGATCGTGGTCCCTGGGAAACACAACATCACTCCATCTCTACTGCAGCACTTACCACGAATTAGAGGGCTGGAAGTGGACTCTCCCAGGGGCGCACCCTGGTCTGTGCCAAAAATGCACACAGCGGAGTGATGTGCTAAGAAGAGTTTCCCTTTGCACTCACCAGTCTGCAGGCAACTTGGCGGGGGGGGGGGTTGGGAGCTGATTTTCCACTGGGAGGTGCCTCACACTCTCCCTGATGGCCCAGCCACCAAGGGCCCTCATGAGCAAATGAGCCAAGACCTGGACAGCTGGACTCGTAACCTGGAGTGAATGTGGATGCCCCCTAGAGATGACGAGACCCCCAGAGGACGCAGGGTCCACACTCTGGAAGCATGGTCTCATTTCTTGCCCATTGCAAGTGGGTGGGTCCCTTTGCCCCAAAACTCAAAGCAGTAGCTGGGTGAAAGAAATAGCAGTGGCGGACGGGCGCAATAAACCTCCAGGACTGAGGCTCATCTCAGCTCTTCACTGACCCACCTCGAGGTTTCTGGGCACAAGTCCTGACTCACTGGGCCCTGGCTCACGTGCGAGGTGTGGCTTAGAAAGCTCAGCCAGTAGAGCCGCTGTGTTGGAAAATGCCCTGATGGACGGCTGAAAAACATGGATGCTTAGCCCTGAGTCAAGAGTGTGTGTGTGTGTGTGTGTGTGTGTGTGTGTGTGTGTAGGGCGTGAAGGCCCTAAGGGCAGACCTTCAGGACACCGTGCCCCCGCCCCGCCCCCACAGACCAGCACAGCCACACAATCTCAGAGCACAAGGACAATTCTAGGTTCCTCTCATGAGGTAAGAAACAGCTCATATGAAAACTTCCAGATGCCAAAACTTCCATCAACTGACTACATATTTCAAATGTGATTTGATACAATAAAATTCAAGGCCATTTACCAGGATTTTTCAAACTTTTGCCCACGACCCACAGCAAGTTTCCACGGCTACCAAGGGTAAATAGGTGCACCCACTGGCAGCTAACAAACAGGAGTTTCATACCTAGCTTGATGAGGTGGAGTAGGCTCTGAGATTTCCCATGCCACTCTTTCTGGTGTGACCCATTAAATTGCTCCTGTGACCCACTTGTGGATCCCAATTGCAGCTTGACAAAACAGCCACGGAATGTTCTGGACAAACCCTTGGGGCCGTCATGGGAGCAAAGTCTTCCAGACATAAGAGATCCCTCCGTCCACGGAAGAGGCCAACCTCACTGACCTCCAGCAGCTAGCCCTGCAGGGTCAGTGAGGGTCATCAAGTGCCACCATGGGCCTGGCTGAGGGTGAGGAAGCTGGCTTCCCCGACCATCTTTAAAGAAAAGGGGGCTGCAAAGTGGCTCGCCCCAGGAGCAGGCTGACAACCCTCCCTGCCCAAGTGGCAAGGCAAGACTGGGACATCACTTGCGGTGGCTTGGACGAGTTCCTTAGGATTTTTCCACAGGCGCACCAGACCTTTGGAATTTCTGGATGAGCAGGATGAGCCTGGTGACGTCGGAGAGCGCGGGGAATAGGGCCATGACGCTGTCCACCTGGTGGGGCGGGAAGATGCTGCAGAGCGCGATGCGCGCCCGGGCGCGCGCGTCCACCTTGCCGGGAGCGGAGGGAGGCGGGGGCCCCGAAGGTCCCCCGAAGGCGCCGTCGCCCCAGCCGCATTCCGCCCAGGCCGAGCAGCCCGGGAACCGGTCGGCCGCTGGTGGGAGGGCGCGCGCGTCGGCGGGCCGTCGGCGCTGGGGGAGCAGGTCCCGGTGCTGGGCCCCGGGGCCGTGCCCCCCGCGCGGCCCGACCGGCGGGCCGGACGGGCCCTGGGGGCTCGGGAGGCCGCGCAGGGCTGCCGGGGTCGGCGAGGCCCCCGGCGCCACCCAGTCCGGACGGCGCGGCCGGGGCGTGAGGCCGGCGTCCAGAGGGGGTGGACCGAGGAGCCCCGGGTCGTCGCTGAAGGCGAGCCGCGAG